TTTCTTTCTTTCTTTCTTTCTTTCTTTCTTTCTTTCTTTCTTTCTTTCTTTCTTTCTTTCTTTCTTTTCTTTTTTCTTTCTCTCTTTCTCTCTTTCTCTTTCTTTCTTTTTTTCATTCATATATTCATTATTTACTTACTTTTCAGACAGTGTCTCCCTATAGCTATAGGGACTCACTGTGTAGACCAGGCTGGCCTCAGTCTTACAGAGATCTACCTGCCTCTGCCTCCTGAGTGCTGAGATTAAAGGCATGTGCCATCATGCCCAGCTGAGACAGGTTTTTTTTTTTTTTTCCCCTTTGGTCTTTTTGAGACAAGGTCTCCCTGTAGCCCCAGCTGTCCTGGAACTCATTATGTAGACCAGGCTGGCCTCGAACTCAGATGCACTTGCCTCTGCCTCCCAAGTGCTGGGATTAAAGTTGTGTGCCACTGTGCCCAACCTGAGATAGGTATTTTTATATACACAAAATAAAGCTCTATTATTTGCTGATGCAGTGCTAGGTAGATGATAAATCAGGTTAAAGTAATTCTTGATGCAGAAAAGCTCAAAATGTACAGAAAAGGAGAAAGGTATGGATGCAATTAATAGACAGAAAGAACAAAGACAGAAGGGAAAAAAGAAACCCAGGTAAAACGAAGAGGATAATGAAATTTGGTTTAAGAGCTAAGAATTTGCTTGCTAACATTTAGAAATAAAAACAGCCATCAACTTGTGACCTGAAAGATAATCAGGAATGAATGATTCAGTGTAGGGGAAGAAAGGCACATGTGCATTATGGGGTGCTTGCTTCTGAGCATAATGGCTGACAACGAAGTTGTCTTCGTTATTCAGTAACAAGAAAACAACACTCCATATTATGTCATTGACTTTTTTTTTTCTTAATTCAGTGAATATCTACAACATTCTCAGTAGCATTTACGGTTTGGAATATGTCTTCTAGAAAAGATGTACCAAATAATTTCATTCATATGTCTACACAAAATAAAAAGATGTAGAAATATCCTAATAAAATGGAAATACAGGGAAATAATCAGCAAACAAAATCTGCTAAGTGCAGGAGTTAGACTGTGTACAGAAAAAGGAAGACAGCTCAGAAAAAGTCGGGGCAGTCTAGCGTGTGTGTAGAGCTGGGCATGAAGTACTCTGAGGAAACACACTTCTGCACTGAGGTTTTCTCAGTGGGGAGCAGCCCGTGTTTATACTGGGAGATAGCAAAGGATACAGGCTATCCAGAGCAGTTTGTCATCTCTCTGGACCAAGTATCCACCATGTGTGCTAGAGGGTAACACAGGACTAAAGGGCAGGAAGGGAAGAGTTATCATCATGCAGGTATGATCTTGAAAAGTCAGACTCTTGAAATGAGTCTCAGGTTGGATTTGGGGGCTGGGGGTAGAGAATCCTGTGGAGCTTCCTTCTGAAATAGTTCAAGATGGTTCCCATAAGTATAAGGAATGGTTGGCTTGTTTTCTAACATTTGATTTGATGACATTCAATGTTGAGTGCTTTAAAATTCACTGAAAAAGTAGAATTTGGCAGAGCATAGACTTTCAGATTTCTTGTAGGAAATTCACCCTGTGTCATGCTGTGTTGTGCAGAGGAAGAAGCCATCCATCTTTGGAGTCAGGAATTGGCTGTGCATGCCTCAGGAAGGGGACCCTTGATAGCACTCACTGTGTTCCCAAACTACTTTTGTGTGGAACCTAACACATAGCATTGTCAGGACGATAGATCACCTTTGTGAAAGAGAGGAAAACAAGAAAATATATATATATATATATTTCAAATCTGAAAACAGGATGGAAAAAGAATGAAAAGAATACATGGTAAATTTTTCAGTAAATTGGCTGATCATGAAATATCAATCTATTTTTTAAGAGCCAAGTGTTCATGTAATATATGAAGGCCTCCACAAACTTTTAGTATCTCGATGTTCCCAATTATTTCTTCATTCCTCATTCACAGGACTGAATCTCAAACTTTAAATACATATGAAGCAGAGAAAAAAGACACACAGCAATATCAGGGAGGGTGGGGGTGGGAACATGGGCGTGAAGATCGGGGCAGTTCTACTTGTCTGCTGAAGTCCAAGTAATTTTATGCTTCCCCTCTCAAACGTCCTTATTCTTATGGAATATGTCAGCCATATATCATGATAACTATGGATTGCTTTGAATAACAAATTCTGAAGTAAAGTACATTCCATTTCCCTGGTCTTGAAGCCCTGTGGTCTACAAACAAAATGGTCTTTGTAGTTCATAATTATGCATTTATTTCTGAGATGAAATATTTAACATTGTATTAAAAACACCACGTATCAATTAGTTATCATTTGGGGAACTGAAATAATATAAACATTTTAAAAAGCAATGTGTTCAATCTTTGCTTTTTGACTTTGAGTAAGTTCTCTAAGACTTGGCTTCATAAAAATAGTTGAAATCATGCTGATAATATAATGGCATTTGTAATGCTATCAATGCTATTAATAATGAATAAAAATTAGTAGTAATACTTATTACTATGGTAAATGGATATAAAGGCCTTTAGTTTTCAAAGAGTTTTTAATATAGCAGATTGAATCAATGTGTGTTAAATCCACTTGGCTACTTTTTAATCTTATAAGAACAATGATAATAACATTTTTATTTTCCCGCAAGATGAGATAATGGAGTAAAGATACTCAGAAGTCATGACCAGATGACAAGGGAGGGTGAGGAGTTTAATTGCTACAGGGAAATATAAGAGGTTTTTGAGAGAGTCCTGTGGTTGTAGACATGTGGCAGAACTGGGCAGAACTGGTAGAAATGGTAGCCAACAGACCTGGGGAATTCCTCAGCTAGGCAGGTGTGGATTGAAGTAAGAACCATCATATTTCTAGGCTTTCTGGAAGGTGTAAAAATTCAAGGACACTGATAGTTCTTTCAAGGGTCTGTGGATTATCATCACATATCTAACACCCTGCCTCACCATGCTTTTTGGTTATGATGGGCTCTTCTTCCAAGCACACAAGAGCCTCAGACACTAGACTTTGAGTGTTATACATCAGGGCTTCAGGGGAAGTCTGATCAGTTGAATTGTGTGTCATCACAAAAGCCAGGAAACAACTCAAGTGTCCTTTGACGAGGACTGCTGGAAGAAATGATAATGATGTCCATGCCGTAGATGAGGTAGACCTTATTCACAAATGGGGGTAGGCACCTGAACTTACCGATAGAGCAGACTGCAAGGTGAAGCATACTAAGAACAGTTATGGCCCTGTGACGATGTCCTTGTAGCTGTACAGGCTAGAATTAAAATTTCTTATAAAAGGTTTCAGAAACTAGTAAAAATGTTGATTTCTGGGTATGCAAGATGGAATCAAAACTGAGAGAAAGATACATAAATATATGGTTGCATTTTTTTCAAAATGTATGCATGAACTTCTTTCAAAGTAGCTGTTGCTATATATGGATATAATATATAATATGTGTACCTATTTTGTATATGTGCATACATATGTGAAAATAAGGAGTGAACATGACTCAGAATAAGTAAATTGCTTGAACAGTAGCTTCATTGCTTCCTAGCTGTGTTCTTGTCCAAGGCAGTGGTCTCTCTAGGATTTCATTTCTTTATTTTAAAATGATAGTGAAAATGTCCCCTTCTCATGATGCATGTGTGTGTGTGTGTGTGTGTGTGTGTGAGAGAGAGAGAGAGAGAGAGAGAGAGAGAGAGAGGAGAGAGAGAGAATGTGTGCACGTAACAGTCAGTATACTTAGTATGTGAATCCCCTTGCTGAGAGAGAGAGAGAGAGAGAGAGAGAGAGAGAGAGAGAGGAGAGAGAATGTGTGCACATAACAGTCAGTATACTTAGTATGTGAGTCCCCTTGTATTCCCCATGAAATTACAATTCTTGATTTCTCTTTTTCTAGCTTCATTCTGATATTGACTCTGGTGATGGGAACATTAAATACATTCTCTCAGGTGAAGGAGCTGGAACCATTTTTGTGATTGATGACAAATCAGGGAACATTCATGCCACCAAGACACTGGACCGAGAGGAGAGAGCCCAGTACACACTAATGGCTCAGGCGGTGGACAGGGACACCAACCGACCACTAGAGCCACCATCAGAATTCATCGTCAAGGTCCAGGACATCAATGATAACCCTCCGGAGTTCCTACATGAGACCTATCATGCTAATGTGCCTGAGAGGTCCAATGTGGGTACGTAAGTGGGGAAGACTTCTTCACTTCCAGCCTGATGGCTTTGCGGGTGGGCAAGCTAGTGCCTGACCTAACTATTTTCAGACTTCAAAGAATAGTGATAATATGCACGCAGTCACCATGCATATTGATGTCTAATAAGTGACAACAGTGATAGTAGCATTGTGCTGACCGATTATTTACATACCCTGTTGTATTTAATTTTGTTATGATTTAACCTTAGAAAGAATGAGATTCAACTGGCCATTTTGTAACTAGAAACCCAAGCCAGAAACAGGTTAACTAATTATGCAAGGGCACTTCTGTTATTAAGTGGATCCAGGATGTATAGAGCACTGTCATCATCTGATGATTTTGGAGCAGAATCGGATTTTCAGTATGCTTAAAGATGAATTGTTCTGCTTAAACATGGGGTTCTGAAGGGTTTCTTCAAGTAGCTGCCTCATAGAAATCAGTCCTGTTTGAGTTTCTAGACCTTGCATATTGCAATGTTTTGTTGTGATATTTTGAGTGAGCCTGATCACCTGGGCTTCAATGATCTAAAGACCACTAGGATTGGATTTCATGTTCTACAAATAATCAAAACAATCACTAACTATGAGGATCAGCTTACTCAATAAAGTCAACTGTGAACTTTGAAACCTAATGTCCTTTCACTTTGCATGTGGAGGCTGTTTTGACAGAAATAACATCATGCCCTCCACATAAACTAAGGTCTTGTCTTACTGAAAGGCAGGCTGAGTCATTCCTGACTTCTTCCCCCATTCCCTGCCCTTTCCTTTATTTTTCCATCTCCACATTCTCTAATGAGAAGCAGAAGTTTCAGGAACGGAATGAATTGGGTAGAGTAGCCGGGAATCCAAAAGGATAACACCCGGGGAGTGTCGTGGTTCTCTTTAGGATGCTTAGAGAAGCACCCAGGACTTTTTACCTATTATTTGGAAGTGTCATCTTTGTTGTTAGACAGCACTAGGCCTTAGTCATGGCTATTCTCTGATCACCCATGTGAAGCCAGGTTATTACATCTACTTTCTAAGTGTGGATTTTGTGACCTATAAAATGAGAATAATGTACATTATGATGAGGGTTATGTAAACATGTAGTTGGAAGAGTGAGATTTGCTTGCACATCATGGAAGACACCAACAACCCTGTAAAATAAGGATGGTTAGTGGATGGAAGCTGTATCAACAGGTTTCATGTCCTCCCTTGAGGAAGCTTGCCTCTGCAGAAAATGTCAGGGGAAGGACTTGGATTTCATTACTAGCTGGGTCAAGATTAGATGTGTGAACCTGGAAATATAAAACATGGAGAGATCCCACAATGTCGTAATTATCACAGCAAATTTTCCAGAAGTAAAATAGATGGGAAAAATGTCCAGCAGAGGATGTTGGCACTTTACATGCAACTTGCCCCTAAGCGTGCCAAGCACAGAGAAACCAGATACTTTTTCTCCTTTTAGCTCCTCTCTCTCCTTTTTGATGCCCCTCATGCCATGTCCCCGATCATTGCTTGTCAGCAAGGAACAAGGAGTTTTGAAAGAAAAATAAAACCAATATCCTTCTCTTCTCTGACTCCCTATCTTCTGCCCTTGGACTGGGTGTTTCACAGCTCATTGCTTGTTCACCGGTGGGTCTTGTTACATGTCTACCCGTCATTGGAGGTGGGAAGATGTGATTTTCATGCCAGTAGGGAACAACATTCTGTATAATATTTATAGCCATAAATTAATTAAAATGCAGTATTAGCAGCAATTTTATTATATGCAAAGCAACAATAAGATGATATATTTATTGCTCTGCTACAGATGGGAGACTGCACTCTGTCCTTTCATGAAAAGCAATTCATCATTAATTATCATTTATTATACTCTCTGGGAAGATTTTTAAGTAATTATTTGATACACTGAACATTTCCATCTCAGAGTTCTAAGAATGTTTTGACAATGTTGTTCATATTATTATTTTAACTATCAAGCCAGGCATGAGATATTAGGGAGATAGAGTTTACATTTAAACTGTGGGGATTGGAAAATAAAAGGAAAGAGAGAAGGAGAAAAGGGAGAAAAAAGGGAAGAATAATATTTTCCACTTTAATTGTACGAAAATAAGAACTCAGCCGGGCATGATGGTGCATTTCTGTAATCCCAGCACTTGGGAGGCAGAGGCAGATGGATCTCTTCGAGTTCAAGGCCAGCCTGGTCTACATAGTGAGTTCCAGGACAGCTGGGGCTACAGGGAGACCCTGCTTC